TTTATTGCAGCATATGGAAAAATTCTTAGAATGGTTGCAGAATGACCTTGTAACAAACCTTTTGGACCACCTTCATTGTATATTTTTTTGGTTGCTTGAAATACTCCTACCCATGATCCTATATATACATATATATATTTATATTATTTAAAAATAGAAAGTGGCATATGGAGTATAAAAAAAAGTAGACATTAAAAAAGTTTTTCAAATTCTCAACTTGTTTGAAATTAAAAACCATCTTTGTTAATTTAATTTGTAAATAGATGGTTATTTAGATATGTTTATTCGTTTACTTCTATTACACGCTATTTTTGAAAATACCTGCATATTTTTGAAAATGTGGATTGCTGGCTTGAAAAAGAATCTTTACTCTATCTAAGGGTGCAATCACTGTTTTTGCCTATGTCATAATATATATAATATATGCAAGATTTATTTTTAATGCTCATAAAACTACATTATATTTTATTTATTATTAAAAATACATACCACGCTGCCTGCTATACCACCTGCTAATCCTGAACGTATTATATAACCTACACTCTGTTTATCATGATAATGGGTTTTTTTTGTTATAACTTCTTGTTTTAAAGACTGCTCTTGCTCTTGATTTGAGTATGAAGTTGTCATTTGTGAAAATTTGTTGATTTCAATTTGTTTATTTATATATATATATCACATGGTATGTAAGCTGACCTATTGTACCTGGTTTTACAAAAAATTAATCATTTTCTCATTCTTGTTACCTAGGGTAGATAGGGATGTTAATGGTCCAGTCCAAACAAGTCCAAGACCTAGGGGATTGATTTAACCGGTAGTCCTAACAATCTTTATTATTATAATTGTTGTTAGATGGTTAGGATCATCGTTTTTTCATAATAATAAATATATTTACCAATGACGATTCCCAATGTTTGTTGATGGTAATTTTATGTAAATACTTCTGATATAATAATAAGGTCTAACAATTCCTTTGCTTCGGATCCTTGTTTCGGGTCCTAGTAATTCATTTACTCTGGGTTCCAATGATTTAAATAGTGATTTAAGATGAGGAGGACCTTTGCAAAAAGGAGGTAGTCCAGCACATAGTTTTGTGTAGGGATAGATATTTTGAAATTTTTTCATGAATAAACGACTAAAATAGTTGATTAAATGGTCGACTAAGATAATCCAATCTCTAGTTCGTTTATTTTTATATGTAGACTTTTGTGGAATCATTAAAATATGACACAGGAAAGATCTTGTAGAATGTATTCGAAATTTCCTTCAGAATTTCATAATGGAGATATAATCAAAGAATACATCGGCGATAAGCATGCGTGAATAAAGATCTCATAGTGGGTAAGATGTTTCTATTACACGGTCTTAATTTTGTATAGAATTCAAGTATTACTCTATGTTTTAAATTTAATTGCACCCAAATTTGATTTCGGTTAAACATTTATTAAGATGTACAGCTTTAGTTAATAATGCTCAAACTTTCGATAAAACTGTACATCTAACGAAAGTTTAAATTTATTTTTTTACCCGTCTCGGTAGATTAGTCTCTAGCTTTAATGTGAGAGAGTTCTAAATGTGGCCAAATCTAAAATTAAGATTACACGTTGGAAAATATTCGTATATGTATAGACTGTAAAAAACATTCATTAACAAGAAAAAGACTGTTGTGCTGTACGTGTTATGTCTTTACAGCCAGATTTTGCTTCCTCGGGCGGGTCCTTTAATTCAAGAAGTTGTTGAAAAGCATGGACGCAAAGTTATTTTTTTCCAAGTTTCACCGCGAACTTAATTTCATTGAGCATTTTTTGGGGAGTGAAATAACCGCGTTTACATTTTTAAAGGATTAGAAAAAACAGTTATGACTGTGTATCATTAGAAACATGCAAGACACTCTTGGAAATTTATTGATGCTTACAGTAAAGGATTAACGCTATATACGCTATAAAGGGCTATAAATATCACAGACGCATTCCAGTAAATCTTGTTTTAATTGAAGAATAATAATAAAAACCAAAATTTGCTGTATCACCAATCCTTTATTCACTTTGCTTTGCTACGCGTTGCTATGCACTGCCCCAGAATTTTTTATTTGAGAAAAGGTTTTTATATAGTTGAGCGTAAAAGATATAAAACATAGTGAAAGGTAATAGATATTTCAATCAATCGAATGGATGCACGATATGTAAGACAAAGTAGACTAATTCAAACAATTTAATATTCATTTTTGATAAATGTTTAATTAAACAAATATAACGGAATTTATCATTCTTCTTCTCAATATTAATATTAATTGGTACTGTATTATAGTTCGAGTAATCTAACTCTGACATACTTTATGTGGCGACTTTGAAATCTATCACATACACTCCCTGGACAAAAGTATCCGGACACCTGTTTTTACTAATTATACAAAAACGCGCATAATAACTACACATAAAATTTTATCAAAATGTAGCTTAGGTTTTGATGAATTGCATGTAAATTTTGATATTCTCAAAACGTCTAAAAAAATTTTAGTTAAAAAAATCCGAAACTCGACGAAAATGATGATGATCAACAAAATATTTATTTTGTGTGTTCAAATATAAATAAATAAAACTTAATATTAATATCAAGTTGGCCATCCATCGCTAGAAATGCATTTCACAATCCTTCTAGACATGTTTTGTATTAATTTGTAGTAAGTTTCATATGGAGTTCGTTGACTAGACTTCTTGTAAAGCAGCTTCCAACTCGTTGGCATTTTTTGGGTATTATGTTCACTTATCTAATCGCCTCCCTAGTTCACTCCAAAGATGTTCAACTGGATTAAGATCTGAGGATTGCGAGGGTCAATTAGGTACCTTCATGAAGGCACAAAATTTTTCCTCTTCGTTTTTTTGCATTTTTACGTTTTTAAGATTAAAAAAAATTGACAACCTTGATTTTTATAAATCCGATTTTAATTACCAATTTTTTAATTTTATTATTAATTATCTATGCTAGCCAAAATTACAAAATTTTGTATTCATATTCTAGTTAATCTAAGCTATAAATTTTTATTTTTATTATTATGTAGGATTTTGAGTAAATTTGAGAAACAAAAATTGATATTGCGATTTTCGTCGAATTTCGGATTATTTTAACTAAAATTTTTCTAGATGTTTTGAGAATATCAAAATTTATATTCATATTCATCAAAACCTAAGCTAGATTTTGATAAAATTTTATGTGTAGTTATTATGCGCGTTTTTGTATAATTAGTAAAAACAGGTGTCCGGATACTTTTGTCCAGGGAGTGTAGATGCACATTAATACTTGTGGGTTTAAAGGATAAAATTTTGGAGATAAGATTATTGCGCAATGTTGATTTCTTTGTCACATGAATTATTTATGAGAAAAAATATTGTTGCATCTCCCCGTTTTGCCATTAATTAACATAGTGGTCGAGTTGTAGAATCAGATGATTAAACAATATAACACGCTCTTTTTCTTTTTTGGTATTAGACACAGGGTTGTTGCGTAACCTAAATGAGCATTGAATAAACCGACTAAAACCATATAGTCATTATGTTAGATTCAATGAAAAAAAACTAGAATGATCTGTGGGTTTTTCAATGTTGTTTTTAATAGAATTATTTCTCACATGAAGTACTCATAGTCTCATTTCGCTTTTTTAAAGTTTCAGATGATATGTTGAAAAATCTTCAAACGCATGCTGAAAATAATGAAATAAAAGCCTCTCTCCAACAAATTAAATCATAGATATCTAGATTTAATCCAATGTTGCAAAAAAAAAAAAAAAACAAGCAGCTCAAATTGCAATTAAGCAATGATTCTATTCGTAACATAATTTCTTGTTCGATCTTAAACTAATGGTTCGAATAAAAATTTATTTATTTTACTTTGATTTTTGTTTCATTTGTTTTATTTTATTTGATTTAGAACTCTGATTAAAGATCGTTATATATACATATATAAGGGGTGTTCAAAGTTGTTCCGTTCCTGTTTCCTGTTCTTTGTTACACAGTCAAAATTAAATTTTACTGGCTGATCAGAAGGAACAGGAAACGGAACAGAGAAACAACAAATTTGTTGTTTCTCCTTGTTTCCACTTCCAAATTTGGAAAAAAAATAAAAAATAAAAGATAAAAAAATAAAAACAAGAAAACGAGGATATCATAAAATAGCTTCTACTAATAATGTACAACAGCCTCGTCCAGTTCAAAGAGTAGCTTCTACTAATGACATGCAACAACAACAAAGCATTTATCCAGTTCAGTAACTTCTACTAATAATAATGACGTGTAACAACTATACATGAAGTCGAAACTATTTCGACCATTTGCAGATCTGGTCGAGATAGGGTCGAAATAAGGTCGAAACTGATTTTTACTATGTAGTTGCCTCAAGTCGAAGCATTTCGACTTCATGTATAGTAACAACAAAACTTTCATCAAATTCATCCAATTCAGTTATTTCTTGGAATAGATTTAGAAACACTGCCTCTTCAATTCTTTCACAAGTTGACATATTTTTTAAAAAAACGCGTGTACAGTGCGGATCAACTTGAGCATAGTTGTTTTCATATCTATCTTTAGTACTGATCTAAATAATAAAATTTACATAGTTAATATAAATTATTAATAAAATGTTGGGACATTAGTTCTAAATCTATTTCAAGAAGCAACTGGTTCAGATGAATTTGATGAAAGTTTTGATTGCTTTTTGAACTGGATAAATATTTTGTAGTTGTGTCATTATTAGTAGAAGAAGCTGATCTTTGAACTGGGTAAATACCTTTATTAGTAAAAGCTACTTTCTGAACTGGACAAACACTTTTTTGTTGAGGTTTTTGAGGTTGTTTGTTGTATGGCTATTTTTGGTATTCTTGTTTTCTTGTTTTCATTTTTTTAAATCATTGTTTCTCTGTTCTGTTTTTTGTTCCTTCTGATCAGCCAATAAAATTGGTTTAATCCTGTAACCAGGAACAGGAACAAAACAACTTTGAACACCTAGGTATGGGTGGTTCATTTCAGTTCAGCAAAACCAGTTTTTTGCAAAAAAAAACCAAACTGAATTGGTTCAACCAGTTCAGTGTAACCAGTTATTATTACATTATACATGCAGATCATTCTTTGTAACAACATATTTCTATAATAACAAATTGAATTATTTGATAGATAGAATGAACAATTGTATCATAAGAGGATATTTTAATTATGTTTCCTAAATGAACTTGAATAAACAAATCATTCTCATTCAAAAATAATCATCTTAGGTTGTATATAGTAATGATATGTTGCTTAAAATGTAAAAAAAAACAACAAAATAAGTTGTTTGTAGAAGAGTCAAATTGAATGCAACATAGTAATAGAAGTAGTTATTTTTGATTGTGTTGCTTCCACATTCTAAATTTGAAAAAATAAATCATTTCATTTTAAATTGTATAATAGTAATATTGTTGCTCATCTTTTGTTTTGTACTGCTCATTAAAATGATAATCAATTTGAAAAGGTGAATTGAATTTGGAAAAAAGGCAGGTTGCAAAAATAATCATGGCACCTATTCATCTTGTTTAACATTTTTCAACTAATATAAAAAGGATAGCCATCCTTTTACATCTTCAACATAATAATTAAAAATCAATATAATAATAATATAGTTGGCTCGGTCTAAAGACCTCCTAAATTTTGAGCAAATTTTAAAAGTATAGAAGTCATTTTCTGTCCTACA